CCGGGTGGAGCGCTGGGAGTCTAATTAGCGAGAAAGAGGAGGGTTTATATGAGCGAGAATTGTTGAAACCAAGGTTGGATAAAGCACAGGGACAAATAGTCAAATGAATGGAAACACATGAACTATGAACCCCCAAATGGATCAGGCCCTCTGAATAGGTGAGGCAGTTGATTGGCTTGATCTGTTTGGGAGGCATCAAGGCAGTGGTACCAGGACCTGGGCTTGCTGCATGAGATAACTGTTTGAAACCTGGGACTTATACAGGGACACTTGGCTCAATCTGGGAGGAGGGGACTGAACCTGCCTGGACTGAGTCTATCAGGTCGATCTCAGTCCTCGGGGGTGGCCTTGATCTCTAGTTGGTGGGAATTGGAGGTGGGCTGGGGGGGGAAGGGGAGGGGGACCAGGAAGGGGGAGAACAAGGGAATCTGTGTCTGTTATGTAGAATAGTATTGTAAAATAAAAGAAAAAATAAAATAAAATAAACAAAATATAAAATAAAATGCTGAGCAGAAATGTAAGTTTATAAAGGTCATATTTCATCTTAGGCCATTTAAATGAAGTTTCAAAGTCTCTATAAAAACATTTTTATTTCTTTTGCACAAAAGTCCCAGAATAAAAATTACTTAAAGTTTGTTGTAATTTTTTTATGTTTAAAATGTTACAAGGATTGCTTTAATTTGAGATTCCATGAAGCATATTGGAGTTAATTTATAATGTATAACAAACCACTAATAAAAGAAGCAAATATTTGTTGATGCATCTCTCCAAGTTTCAGAGCTAAAGAGATGAAGCTGAGGTCAAAAACCCTTGTAGAGGACCTGAGTTCAGTTCCAAGACACAAAGCAGGGGCCTTACAGCACATGTAACTGGAACTGTTTGGGAACCAATGTGCTCTTCTGACCTCTTAAGGAACTGTACACAGAAATATGGAAACACACACACACACACACACACACACACACACACACACACACACATACACACACACACAGACACTCACACACTACAACTACCTCCACTACTATTACCACTACTAATACTTCTATCACCTAATATCTAAAAAAAAAACCTCTACAATTCAATAACAGGATTTATTTGATGACAACACTCAGTCATTCACATGTACAAGAACAGGAAAATAAACCACACTCTCCATATATTTTTTTTTAAGTTTTAAGAATTTATTCCCATGGAAACATCCCTGGAGGGAAACCGGCCATTTTCTCCTGGAATACTTTATCAAAGGCTTCAGCTTGGGCTACTGTAAAGTGATTCTTCCAGTCCCCAGTCGTGCCTAGAAAATGTGAAGCAGACACATAGATGGGTTAATGATGATCTCAACACTGCTCTCAGTCCTTCCTTCACATGCTCTTACCATCTGCTTGACAAGGACCACAGAGTTAATAAAGGGAAATACCAGTGACTTCCTGTAGAATACATCTAATTCCCTTGAAATAATTTACATAAGTCTTCTACCTCTGTGGCAATAATCTTCCCCCTTCTGCTATCTCATATCAACTACATACTCTAAGGGCTTCCACACCAGCTCTACCATTTAGATGTTCAGATTATTCCTGATTCCCACTACACCTGTTTCCATCACACCGTCTAATCCAACAGTTTCTTATCTCAATTATCCAAACAGGTTTCAATTCTTCTTTCTAAATTTTAGTGTTTACTTGTAAAAGTTCTGCAAAACATGCAAGCAACTTTTAAAAGATCTTTTAAAATTAAGTTTAATCATATGTGTGTATAGGTCCACATGAATGCAGCTTCCTGCAGAGCTTTGAAGTATCAGATCCCCTTGAGCAGGAGATACACACTGTTGTGAGCTACATGTCAATCATCTTGATGCTTTCATCAGGTGCAGGAGACCCAGATAACTGCCAGCTGAGAACATCCCAAGATTTCTGTTTTCAATCAGCATGGTGTCTGGTAATGCATCAAGACATATGTGATCTTTTTACCACATCTTTTTACCAGTCTTTGGTTCTCACCGCTGCATTCTAGTATGTCTTTAGGTTTGACATTAGAGGTGACAAATTGTGCAACTGCTCTCATTGAACTGTGTGTTCCTTCTTTCTAGAGTGCTGATGTCCTCCATATACTCACTTCCTGTTCTTTGGTTTCCTAATTTATGCCACTGTGACCACCTCTTCCTAACTTCCCTCCATGTAGAGCTCTGCAGGCCCAACTTGCTGTACTTTATTTCATAATTATGACACTTGGATGAATTTCCTTTTTGTAAAGAAGCCTGAAATATGTATCTAATATCTTTAAAAAGTAAAATGTTTCTTTCATCACCAAAGGCTTCATTCATCAAATCATATCAGACAAATATACCATACTCAGTATGGAATTGTTGAAAGCATTCATGAATAAGTGAGGAAGGCACTGGCCTTGTTTCCATTTTGCTGATGAGGAAAAAATTAGCCTTGAGATGTTACCCAGCATGATGGTGATGGGTATGGACTTGAAGCCAAAAATACTGACAGTAGAAGTCATGGTTTTCCTTATCACATTGTATTCCTTATGTATCATATAAGTTAACTTTAAATTCCCAGTGGTATTATTAAAGAAAATATATGCTGTTCAGAATTAAATGATAATTATTGATACACCATATTCAAATAATATGCCACTAATTGATATGACCATAAGAGTGTCATCTGTTAAGATGGGAATCTATCAGTATCAATTGCTACTCTCAGCTTTGTTATTTTCTTCATCATTAGAACAAGTTTCTTTATTGTTTCTCACAGCACTCCTGGCTCTTGAGCAGTCAGACTGGATGCCCAGCTACCAGAATGTCAGTAAATTCAATACGACTGCCCACTTGGATTGAATCAGTCCAGATGGGAGAAGTGCATCTTCTAAGCCTATATTTCTCTTCATTTGTTCTTTCTAAAAATCTCCTCAAACTCTGGAATGTCAGAGGACAGGATAAGCCTAATTCTTGGTGGGTTAACTCTTGTTGGAAAGGAACATCCTCATAGTTCCAGAGACTGCAATTCTCACAAAAAAATCTTGTCCAGTCTTCCATGGTTTTTATTGGCCAGCAGATAATTGGCTTCTCTCTAGGTCTTCTTTCCTGTGTGTCTCAGATTAATGCCTTCTAAGAACACCAGTAAAAAATGATTTATGGCTAAAGCACTCTGATTAGAAAACATCCACTGTGAAGTAATGAGGTCCAAAACCTTTGAAGCTTGTCAGAAGATGTTTGCTTCCTCATGTCTTCATTGTGACAATATCTTAATAAAAGTTCTGTCACCTAAACAGTGGATGAATGGGAATGACCATCTCTTCAGTCTGTATTTCATGTAGTATCTAAATATGGAATCATAATGACCAAAATTGTTTGTAGATAATTATTGCTTGAAGCTTAAAACCAGATTCATCCCAACTAGCCAGATGATTAAGTCTCCCAGGTAAAGAGTAGCTCTTCAATCTGGGTGGTGGTGGTGCACACCTTTAATCCCAGCACTCAGGAGGCAGAGGCAGGCAGATCGTTGTGAGTTTGAGGCCAGCCTGGTCTAGAGAGGGAGATCCAGGAAAGGTGTAAACTACACGGGGAAACCCTGTCTCAAAAGACCAAAAAAACCAGTAGTTCTTCAGAGTAGCTCTCTAGAGGCAAGAAAAGGTATTTCTCTTGGGTCCTGAGAAAAGCAACTAAAGGACAGTGAAAATAGGTCTAAAGAATTCCTCCCACTTAAAGCCAGTCTAACAGTTAGCAAAGCTTTTCATGCATTATGACTTAGGGAATTAAGCATCTAATGGTAAGTAATGAAATTAATTTTAGAATTAATCTTTGATCACTCATACCTTCAAGATTCAAAAAAGGAACCGATCTGATGTAGTAATTGAAAAGACCAACATTATCTTCAGAGATGGTATTCTTTCAAAAGTGTTTCCCAGATATCCATCTCAGCAACCTCTATTATGAAGTCATGAATCAGGGTGGGGTGAGTAATGAAGTTGGTCTCCTCTTAAATGATCTCACTTCCAGTGGGACTCATGGCTTACAATGAGTGTGAGTAGAAGAAAAATAATTCCCCTGAGTAAAAGTTATCTTTAAATGCAGAAGATACGGATGTCATATATAATCATTATGATAAGTTACAAAGGACTTACAGAGTCACATCAAGTTTTTTTGACAGAATTAACATATATGATACATGAAAAATACTCTGATTTGGAGATACTTAACTAAAATCCCATTGTGGTCTCATCCTAGAAAAATCTACACGGAAAAGAGGAAATGACAGTTGTCTTCATAGAATTGTGTCCTTAATTCTATTGTGTCTGCACCATTGTGTTTCTGACAAAACTTTTACTTGTTAGTTTCCATAGCCTTTCCCTATTAAAAAAGACATTTCATTCCTTTTGTCATTTCATTAAAGCCTTTCATGTATACATACTGTTTCACCTCTGCCAAATTCTAATTCATTACAGGAAATCCAAGAATGGGCAACATCTCTTCTTATGTCGGACCTTCAGATCTAGTACAGACAACTCTGTCTCCACAGAGTCTGGAGCACAGCAGTCTGAGGTTATCTGTCAATAGCAGTGGATTCTCCAGGGATCTCACTCCATAGTTTATAGATGACCATATTCTTGAAGTGACATGTATGTGTGCTCAAAGCTGAGCCCAAACATCCTCTTGTGAGGACACCAGGAATATTGAATTAAATGTAATCTGCTAACCACTTTAACTTACTTAACTATATGTATACTCCTGATGTCCTTATATTCTAGGACATGATCCTTACAATCTAGAGTGGAGGAGGATTAAAGTTTAAGGCTGAAGCATGTCAATTATTGGGAGAAGAAAATTAAACACATAATAACACTTCCTTCACTTCTACCCATTTTCTTTACTTGTCCCCAAAGACCTGACGTCTGATTCATTCCTTCTTCAATGTCAAGCCTCATCTCACCAATTATTTGTTAATTAGGTAAAGGTGACACTCCAGGTGTGATTCTTTCTGGCAAAATTGCTCCTCAACTTTACAGCTGTGAAACCACACCTGAAATCTGCTCCCAGCATAGAGAGGTAGCACAGACATAGAGAAGATGGACATTCCCATTCCTGGAGAGGCATTCAGAACAAACTGAGTAGCCCTGAGCCTGAAGCAATCCAAATTTAGGTTGGTAAATACCATCAGGTGTAACACTGGTGAATAATTTGCTTAGTCTTTATGGGGTCTATACTTAGCCTGGTGTGGGACAGCAATCTTGGCATGTTCAACATCTTTTCCAGCCATGAATGGAAGTGTTTTCTGTGATTATCATTGCGAATATATCTTTGGTCCCATGCACTATGTGTTTTCTTTAGATTTCTAAGATACAGGGAGCCTTCCTAAGCCACATTGCAACATGTCTACCCTTTCATTTCCATTTAGGGTATTGGACACAAACATATGCAATCCCAAGACCCTCTCCCTGAAGAAATTAATTTTTCAGAGCTACTGAAGCCCACATCATCACCATGAAATGACTCTTCTGTGAGAAACTATGATGTAATGAGCAATGACTTCTGAAACATTCCCAACTCTTTCCTAGAGTCTCACTGGAACAACAAGCCCTCCACACGTCCTGACATCATTTAAAGCTCAAAAGCTTCTTCACCTTTTCTCAAGAGAACCAAACCATTAGAAGCCACATTTTCAGGGACAAGGCTAAAATTGGACATTTTATTTTCTTTCATGGCTTGGAAGGAGCTGTACTTGAGGACCATATCCAGCTCATCTGGCTCTAATTTCTTTCCTAGGAAGTCACAAATCTTCTTTATGATGCTCTTTGTGTCCTAAAAGAAGAAACAAAAATGAAGGTAATCAACAGAAAGCTCTGAGAGAACATATGCAGAGAAGGGAACTATGGATGGAGGATGAAAAGGGGATGTTAAGAAAGAAATGGCAACATGAGATGAGAAAGCATTGAAAAGGGTTTAGGAAAGATACAGGAAATGTTGAGAGGGTAGGAGTTCCACAGTATTTGTATATTGAGTGGGCTTGCAATGTTACTGATCTATAGCCCCAAAAGACAGAGGCTAGAATTTCTTCTATCAGGGAGAGGATATTAGAGACAAGGTCTCATAAAATCGATCTGTTCTCAAACATACTTCTTAGTGGACAAATTTATTGAACGGCTGATCCTCCTGCTTCCATATCTGTAGTGATGTGTCCACATGTGTGTGACAACCCACCCACTAAATATACTTGGGATGTTTCTTCTAGAGAGATGATCTCACAATGGAGCCCTGTCTGGTGGGATGAAAGTTGCTCTGGAGACCAG